ACGACTCTCCTTCACGTCAGAAATTAAAACACAGGCTGTTCGCTGCCTGAGCTACACCCCAGTGTAAAAGCTGTTTCTCCCTGTATATGGGCACCCTGTATATGGTCTATGGGTTTAGAACAACCTGCTCTGGGCTGAGTCCAGTGCTGCCAGACCAGCACTTGTGTTCTGCTTTTATCGAGGTTTTATTTAGAACTATTGATTGTGAGGGTAGCAGGTGAAACTATAGTTTACATACATTCTAAAGCAACTTACAAAGTGCATCAGCAGCAAACTACTAACAGATGACGTTAAACTAACGAGTTGTCAGCCTCTGAGGTTATGTGTGTGTATGTATGTATGTATAAAATATGTAGCAATCGTGCTTATTTTTATTGCCATTGCTGGCAAATTTCTTTTAAAGCTCTTGTTCCCTGCTCTTTGTTTAGCATTTATATGCTAGATATTGGTAATGAAAATGTTATACATGAAACAAACAAGTTAGACAATTTCTTTCATATCAGACTTGATTTACTGGATGTTGATCGTAACATGCTGATTTATTATGTTATAGTGTATTTTTTCACTAATCTTCAGTAAGTTTAAAATTTGCCAGTGCTTTTGCTATTAATAAAATACTGCAAACCTAAATCCTACCATACCATGTCATTTACTCTAACATGAACCTAAAATTTGCTCACTGTTTTGGGAATGGTTCCAACTCACTCTTCTAGAATATTTGTTTCTATGTATGGGGTGAAAAATTTGCAAAAGTTTAATCTACAGAGCAGTAGAGTCGAAATAGTTATAATTTCTGTGAATTGTGCTATTTAAATTAATTGGGGAGAGAAAGAGCCTGTAAAACAGCTGTTCCCACTTTGTAAAGAGGGCATTGCTTATTAATTAGAATCTGAAAAATAGTTTCTTGAAAAATCTATGTTTCTTGGCTAAATCCAAGCAAACTCTTCTTGTACCAGATTTGAATAGAAATGCAAAGTCTTTTTATTTTATACTTTTCCTAGATATTTCTATTATACTTTTGTTTCACTTTTCTTGCTAGAGCCAAAGCTTCTTTTCCAAGGTTAAATTGATCACTTTGTTTTGTCTTGTGTAAACTGTAAACTTCAGCTGAACGATAATGTCAGTATTCTGAATTTTACACCGTTTCAGACTTCGAAGCAGTGTGTCATGTTATTTGTTGTAATAATCACGAGCTATGAATCAATGAAAAAATGATAAATAAAGAAAACCAAGGAACTGCAACAGATCTGTAGTGGCAAAGCCTTCGGTAATATTTTACTTTGATGCAAACGAGTGTATTACAATTCTGCATTATGAACAAGTTTACCGTTGAGTGAGGAAGCACTTCACAGCCTCAGTACGCAAATAGATAAGATTTAAAGTTCATGTATTTAAAGACTTGGGAAGAACAAGGTGAAGTTAAAACTTGGGTTTGCAAGCTGAACTGTATAGCAATACTCTAAAAGGAATCTCTCAAACCTTAAGTAAGTTTTCATATGTATGTCAATGTAGGAAAGCTGATCAGGTGGATATTGTTTCAGAAGATCTGGAAAACTAAGAGGCTGGAGAGGATTAGAGAGAAAAACCAGCATTGATCAGTCCTCTTTAGACACATTTTCCAGGTGCGACAGGAAATCTTAAAAAGACTAGAGGAGTGTAAGGGCTTTGCACAAAATATTTCTTCTGATGCTTTTCTCCTCCACTGTGTCGATAAAAAGGTGAAAGAATGAATCAGATATTTACTGGTCCAAACCAGCAGATAAATAATAAATGTACTTTTGCCTGAATGCCCATTGTACTAAAAGATTGATTCACTGTGCTAGCTGTAAATAGTGGCCAATTCACCTTGACTCATGTTTAATTGAAATTACCGCTCCTTGTTCTGCTTAGACGTTATGGAGCTCCTTCAGCTGAACTGAAAAAACACCTCAATCACCAGATAAATTCTTTTACTG